GCGAGGTTCTCAAGCAGCCCGCCGCAGGCGCCGAATTTTTTACAAATTATTCAACGAGCCTGCCGCAGGCGCCGATTGTTCGTTAAAGCAATGTGGGTGGGTCGCAGGTGGGTCGTGGGCCGTTTCATGGGTGGGTCGCGGGTGGGTCGCGGGTTGGTCGCGGGTGGGTCGCGGGGATGGTCGCGGGGATGGTCGCGGGTGGGTCGCGGGTGGGTCGCGGGTGGGTCGCGGGTGGGTCGCGGGTGGGTCGCGGGTTGGTCGCGGGGTGGGTTGCGGGTGGGTCGGGTCGCGGGGGTGACGACGCCAAACAACAGAAACAAACAATTAAACAAATAAGCATACAAACAAACAAACAAACATGAACAACAACATAAAGAATCTGCATCGCGGAATCCCACTTCAGCCACGCACCTAGGGACAGTGAATGAGCGTTCGACACCCTCTTTTCTGACCTTGCGCCACATCGCTCACACATTCTCAGCGTAGCAAGAGGCAACGTTCCGCTTGGGAAGGGTCCACGCTGGCAAACGTTCGTGCGTTGTGCAGCATTGATTGACTAGGCTGATTGACTACGTTCGTTGCACAGCATTCGTAGGATGATCATACCGTGCGGGTCACATGAGCGCGTCGCCCCGCGCGCATGTCAAAACCGTCCAGCACCTGTAGCGCTCCAGCACTGTCAGTACAGATCCCGTCAACAACTATCCAACAAAACGCTGTGTGTGTGCTCCAACAACAGTTTGCCAGATGTCTTGTCGCGCGCGCTCGCTCAATTCACCAGAACCGTAAGTCCGTGCCTGCTCTGCCAAGTGAGACCATGCGCGTCACACGCGCGCTTACCGAACATATGCCATTATCTCGGCGACGTCCCAACCATATGCAAGTGTGATTACCGCAAGGCAGGTGGGACGACTGAGGGGGGGGGGGGATCTATGGGGCTACGAAGCGTGTGATGGGAGTGCCGAAGTGTGTTGGATTTGAGGAGGAAGAGCGTGATGCGGTGCAGTTTGTGATTATGCTGATGCTGATGCTACTGCTGATGATGAGGATAACGACGATGATTGCGATGCAGATGGTGATAATGATGGGTGATGGTGATGATGATGCTGATACGATGGTCATGGTGATCATGATGCTGATGATGATGATGGTGCTGATGATGATGATGATGATGATGATGATGATGCTGAGTGTGGTGTTGATGATGATGATGCTGATGATGATGATGGTGATGTCGATTGTGATGATTATGGTTGTGGTGATGACGGTGATGATGGTGGTAGCAGTGATGTTGGTTTGAGAGTGATTATGATGATGAGCGTGATTCTGATCACGATGTTGATGCCGACGATGGTGACGACGACATGTTCAGATAAGGCAGGAGGGGGCAGCGTTAGGAGTGGATGCGGGGCGTTGTTTCGTCAAGACGAGGATCCAACAGAGGATGATTGGGAATAAGCAGTGCGCAGCAGCCAATTCGGGCAACTATGACCATGTCCATGTGAGCCACACCCACGCGCCGAAGTCTTTCCAATCCAGATGGGTGTCGAGGCATCTCAAGACAGAGCTCTTCAAATACATACGAACACCAAATGGGCTTTCAATGCAACTTGGGCCGGTAATCCTGATGTTCTGTGCGCACGCGCACTTCGTCATCCCCATCATCACCATCTATAAACTCATCTTCACGAGCTGGAAATCGCCAACCGTCCACACGATTAGCACCATTATCAGCTGTACGTTATTGCAATCGTGCTTCCTAGCGTTCGTCATCATCGACACTGTCACCATCATAAGCATCATCAGCATCACCATCATCATCATCATCATCATCATCATCATCATCATCATCATCATCATCATCATCATCCTCATCCTCATCATCCTCATCATCCTCAATATCATCAACATCATCACCATCGTCGTCATCGCCATTGTCATCGTCGTCTTCGTTGTCGTTTATCCCGTCGTCATCATCGTTTTCATCGTCGACATCATTATAATTATCATCGTCGTCATCAACATCGTCGTCATCCTCATTATTATCATCATCATCATCATCATCATCATCATCATCATCATCATCATCATCATCATCATCATTATCATTATCATTATCATCATCATCATCATCATCATCATCATCATCATCATCATCATCATCATCATCGTCATCGTCATCATCATCATCGTCATCGCCGTCGTCGTGGATGTCGTCGTTCCGATCATCACTCGCCCGCCCAGGACATGTGTTTGCGTGAGCAGGGTCCGCGCATCATCTCGCTTGCCAGGACTTGCAAATGTCGATGAACAAGTTCAATTAAGCCCTTGTGAGTTTTGCCGGGAAATTGCGGGTGGGCAGGTGGGATGTCCGCGGGAGTTTGCGATTTGGCGGGTTCAGATCCATTGAGTCAGTTGCACCACCTAGCTTGTACCACGTGTAGCGCGCGACATAAGTTGCGCCACATGGATTGCACCACCTAGCTTGCACCACATAGTTCGCGCCACATACTGCAGTACGTATGTTGCTCCACATAGTTTGCACCGCGTACCTTGCACCGCGTAGATGACGCTGAATATGGATTACCCTACACAAATTGCACCACATCGTTTGCATTACATCGCACACATCCAGAGTGCACCAACAACGAACTACTCGGGATCCACGCTGGCAAATATTGGAGGAATCGCGGAATTGCCTACCTGACCTCTCCGTTTGGTCCAAGCGTTGCCGCTGTTCTTTGGTTCCGTGCATCCGAGGTGGATGCTCGTGTTGCTTCTGCACGCCAGGGCTGCCCGCTCCATGGTCCTGACCCTTATCGGACATCTCCCTCCAGCCTCCTACAATGTGTGGTCGCCCCGGCTCACGCGGCATGCGTTTTACCACCGCTTCTCTCTCTCTCTCTCTCTCTTTCTCTCTCTTTGCCTCCTTTCCAGGCCGCCACACTCGGCCCAGAGTAGATAGGGTTTGGAGGATCGCGTCGCTTCGTTCACGCGGCGCGATCCCGAACCCGGCCTCTGCCCATCCCGACACCACGATGCATGTGCGGTGCGGTTGTTGTCCGCGCCTTGCCTAAATTCCAGCGCCGCTTGTGAGCGGCCTCCACCGATTCCCGCCCGTTGCTTTGGACCGCAGGTGCGTCCACAAGCCCCACGCGGCCCCCATGCGTTCGGCAGCAAATCATGGGAGCGTTGTACGTCCTCGAAACTTATCTTTAGAATGATGGGCCTGTTTTCCACCACCACCACCATAAGTTGGAGAAGGGAAGGAGGTGGAGGAGGAGGAGGAGGACTCCCTCCCCCTCCAACTTATGGTGGTGGTGGACAGGCCCATCATCGAATGCACTAGAACGCAACAGAGTCCGTTAATCGATGAGACAGCGCCGATTCAGCGTCGATTCAGCGTCGATTAGCGGTGGCCAGCGGCGATTTCGCAAGAGTCAGCAAGATGGTATGAGAGGCTCCGCTTAATACATAAGGGTCTTTAGATCACCCCCCCAATTGGGGGTAACTGATTCCCAACCATCCTGTGGTGTTGGGTCCTCGTTTTGAAGAGACGGTGCCCCGCGTTCCCGCCTCCTTCCTCCCTCCCTCCTCCCCCCTCCTCCCCCTCCCACACCCATTCTGGCACACCCCTCACACGTTTCGTGGCCCCATAGGGAGCTCCACCGAAGGCCCCAGTGGCTGCGTCCGCATGCGGTTCCACCCCCCATTTCGGCACACCCCTCACACGTTTCGTGGCCCCATAGGGAGCTCCACCGAAGGCCCCAGTGGCTGCGTCCGCATGCGGTTCCACCCCCCATTTCGGCACACCCCTCACACGTTTCGTGGCCCCATAGGGAGCTCCAGCGAAGGCCCCAGTGGCTGCGTCCGCATGCGGTTCCACCCCCCATTTCGGCACACCCCTCACACGTTTCGTGGCCCCATAGGGAGCTCCAGCGAGGGCCCCAGTAGCTGCGTCCGCATGCGGTTCCACCCCCCATTTCGGCACACCCCTCACACGTTTCGTGGCCCCATAGGGAGCTCCAGCGAGGGCCCCAGTGGCTGCGTCCGCATGCAGTTCCACCCCCCATTTCGGCACACCCCTCACACGTTCCGTGGCCCCATAGGGAGCTCCCTCTCATTCGTTCAACCTGCTTTGCGGTACTCGTAACTGCATGTGGTTGGGTCCATCGCCAGGATAATTGTTTTTTCGGCGACCGGATTGAAGGACTGGGGTCCCACCAGGAGCAGAAAATAATAATTCATCCGCGGTACCCGCCGCACAACAACGACGACGACGAGATGAAAGAGGAGAAACAGGGGGGGTATCAAACCAAAAGGTGATCGTGTTCTTGTTCATTGTTTTGCCGATCGGCGCGGGCACTCGCACCCCCCCACACCCCCCATGGAGCGGATCTTGGCTGTTTGGGCGCCTGTTTCGAGCGGGTGGAGCCTCCGCCAGAGGGCGTACTGCTGCAAGCAGTCGAACTGAGCAGAGGTCTGGAGCCAATGTCGTCACGCCGAATAAAAAAACGTTCACAAGACCTTTGGGTGTTTCGATGGTTCTCGGTGGTTTTGCTATGGAAAGCGTGACTGTCCCACACCAAACTTCAATGGACGTCCTGGGGTCTCAGGGTTGGGTTTCTTGCGGACCCCCACTGCATCAAAACAGAAGTTTTTGTTAGGGGTTAGCTGCCACCGAAGACGCGCCCGCTGCAGCGCATGGCGGAGGGCGCGGCGCCGGGCCCCGCGCTGCCGCGGCCGCCCCGCTGGGCCCGTGCCGCGGGCCGCGCCGCGGCGGCCGCCGCGGCGGGGGGCGGTGGCGGCGCTCCAGGCGGGGACGTCGCGGCGCCCGGCGGCGGCAGCGTTAAGCCGGGCACGTCCCCCTACAGGAGGAACAGTCAAGAACAGCCAAAAAAAGTTGTCTATGGGGACGATTCGTCGACCATCCTTGAAGATGTTTGAAGATTTGTTGATTCTTGTTTTCGGTTTCTTGCAAAATCCGCCTCTAAGAGGACATGACCGACCTAACGGCAGTGCTGCGGGCGGCGATGTTGGGCGAGGCGCAGGGTCCATCTCGAGCCGATCGATTTCGACCCGATGTTGGTTTGGGCCGGCCCGATCCGAGTCAGTGCTTCGAAGAAAAAAACGCCGCAAACGTACACGTTTGGCACTCCGCGCGGATTTCTTGGATCCGCGTTGGTGCCCCCTGGGTGGCGCCTCCGGCGCCGCCGATCCTGGCGCGCTCCGCGAGGAGCGCCAAAAGTTGATGTTTATGGCGGTGTTTCTTCTTCTATTGTTGCGGGCGGCGGTGGCGGGCGAGACGCAGGGTCCACCTCGATGCGATCGATTTCGATTCGATGACGGTTCGGGCCGGCCCGAGCCGAGTCGGTTTCGATGTACGCCGACGATGCGATGCGGCCCGATGTTTTCGCATGGCGCCGCTGTGCGTCCTGGCGCAGCCGATGCGATTCGATGTCGATGTCATGTCGACGCAGCCCAATCCGATGTTCATGTCGAGTCGATCCGATTTACCGATTTGATGCTATCCTTGCGAGGCGGCGTCCGCTGCCTGATCTGCTTAGAGCATCGAGGGACAAACAACGGCATGAACACAAAATTTCGGCCGGAGTTCCATGCGGATTTCTTGGATCGGCGTTGGGCCCCCTCTGGGCGGCGCCTCTGGCGCCGCTCCTGGCGCGCTCCGCGCGCCAAGGGGGGGTCCAGCGCTGACCCAACATATCCGCGCGGAGCTCCGAAAGTTTGCTTATCTGCCGTGTTTCTTTCCTCTAGAGCAAGCTGGGGCGGCGGACCACGACGCTGGACTGCCGTGCGGGCACCCGGTGTGCGCCGAGTGCGCCTTCGAGTACGTGAGGAGCCTCGTCGGCCAGGGCAGGGTCGCCAGCAGGGACCTGTGCTGCCCAGACCCCTCGTGCCGCGGGCCGCTGCCGGAGGCGTTCGTCTCGCGCTTGTTGGGCGCATCGCCTGAGGGCGAGAGGTTGCTGCAGCGGCTGCTGGAGTTCCAGGCACGCCGATTCGAGCCGGCGCCCGAGGACGGGGAGGTGCTGGTCGCGTGCCCTTCGGCAGGTTGCGGTAAGGTGTTGATCCCAGAGGAGCTCGTGGCTCGGAAGGAGGAGGTCACTTGCTTGCTCTGTGTGCGCTCGTTCTGCGCCGCGTGCTGCCAACCAGCGCACCGGGGCATCAGCTGCGAGGCCGCCGAGCTGGAGAGGATGGACCCTCGGCTCAGAGAGCTCATCGCGAGGCAGCACTGGAAGCGCTGCCCTGTTTGTCGCCACCTCTGCGAGCGCGAAGCAGGCTGTAACTTCATGACCTGCCCCTCCGAGCGATGCCAGGGCAGCACGTTTTTCTGCTACCTGTGCGGCGAGCAGCTGACGAAGTCAGACCACTCCGCACACTACGAGGGCTTCGAGGGCGCGACAGGCCGCATGGGCCCCTTCGGGTCCGTGTGCGTGAACAAGCGGGAGGAGGACGCATCTTTGCCGACGCAGCCTCGTCCCCCTGCGCTGAGCGTCGTCGAGGGCGACGAGGAGGGCAGCATTGCGCTGCGGATCACCTGGGGGCCACATCAGAGCGAGCCGCCCACCATCTATTACCGCGTGCGCCTGCTCGTCGCGCCCAGTGGCGACGAGGCCCGAAGCCTGAGCGCCCAGGCAGGCGAGGCGTACCACGACGTCAAGAGGGGCCTGCCGAAGTACCGGCGCTACTGGGCCGTGGTGACGCCGGTGAACGTGAACGGCGCAGGGCCGCCCAGCGAGCGGAGCGAGGTCGTCCACTTCCACCACCGAGAGCTGTCCGGCTCCGGGGCGCGCGCGTGTCACCCGGCGCCCGTGGCCCAGAGGGGCAGGAGGTGGGCCGCGGTCACGGGCGCGCAGGCGCCTGGAAAACAGAGCCCTTCGGGCGCGAGGGACTGTGGTCCTCTGTGGGTGGGGCGCTTGTCTGCGCCGCGGGGCCGAGAGCTCTCCCCGCCCAGCCGGCGCCCAGGCCGTGGGTCGCCCGCAGGGGTCTGGAGCTCCTCGCGCGTCGAGGTCTGGGCCGCACGGTTGCCTCTCTCCGTGGGGTCTTTTGGGGGGGGGGGGCCGGCGCGGGAGCGCGAAGATGCCTGCGCTCGGCGCAGCTCGAAACGCGCAAAGTAGGGTGCCCCCGGCTCCGCCGCCGTCCAAGGGCCTGCCGCCGAGGCGTCCCCGAGGCCTTCCGTGACCGCCGCGCGGCGGAAGGCGCAGGAGGAGCCAGCCCTCAGATCTTGTCTCAGCAGTTTGGCTCGCAACAGGGATTTTGCGTCGTTTCGGGCCCTGGGACCCTCACGGATCGATCTGGCTTGAAAAATGACGAGATGCATGGAGTTTGGGGTTCCTGTCGTGATTTGTGCGACGTGCTATTTTTGTCCGCCACGTCGGATCTCAGGGAGGAGGAGGAGGAGGAGGAGGAGGAGGAGGAGGAGGAGGAGGAGGACACGGAGGAAATGGAGGAGGAGGAGGAGGAGGCAGTGGGGCGGACGGACGAGTAGGGCGAAGGCCAACTGGGAAGGGCGAGACCGCCGATCTTTCCTCGGCTTCCTTCGTGCTCCGAGGAGGTCGGCGACGATTGGTGTGCGCCAGGTATGTGCGTCCGCACACACACACACACACACACACACACGCGCACACTCGTGTTCCCCCACCGGCCCGGTGACGTCACCTTTGCGAGTGATGGAAAGGGGCACTAAGTTCGATACCAAACATCACCCAACGTTATAAATGAGGGCTAGCGGGAGCCCGCCAAGCGGCGTGCACGTAGTGAAAGTGCACCCAACCCAGTGGATGAAGGGCAAGCGGTGGACCGGTCAGCCGGCTTGCATGACTTGCGGAGGTTGCAAGTGGAGGTTTCGCGAGGCGAGTTGTGCAGGGACACGCCCAATTTTAGTTCGAGGCAGGCAGAGCTTGACACATGCAATCGTTCGGGGTGCGAAGAGCACACACAAACACCAATCCTGGCCGTGCCCATATTATGGCGAAGGACTTGTGCATTCGCCCTCCTATTTTTTCTTGTGCAGGTCAATATGACGGTCGGCCAATCGTCGGCTGGTTGCGCTGTCTCCTTTCACATCTTCTAACCAAAACATTTCGGGTTTCGCTGGAGAGGCAACTGCGCCGATCCTGGGTCCAGGATGGGCCTGGATCGGCTTGGCTGTAAAGTCTGCATCCTCCTGATCGAGACATCCGTTCATAACCGCTGGTCCTTGGACCCCTCGGGGTCAATTCGGACCGAGCCGCGTCTGTCGGCTCCGCGTAAGAGTGACCTTTCGCTGGAGTGACCGCTGGTTCGGGCTCACAGGGGTCTCTTTGGCAGTGGCTTGCGCGCTAGGATCTGGCACCCCGACTGCACCCTAAGCCGCGCACCAAAGGTCACTCTTGCCCAGGGTCGCACATTACGTGTGTCCGAGTCTAGCCGTGGCGACGGGGTGTCCGTCAAAAGGCCAGGAAAGCAGGAGGGTGAGGAGGAGGAGGAGGAGGAGGAGGAGGAGGAGGAGGAGGAGGAGGATCTGGTCGTCTTGCGCAGCCGCAAGGGCTCAGCCGCTCGGTTGGCTTGGGGAATGAGTACGTGGCTGAGCGAGATAGATCGCGGGGGAGATCAGGGAGGGCATGGTAGCAAATCATGGATGGCCTCGTGTACCCTTGTAAGTCTGCCTTTCGAGTGCACTAGCGTCTGGCAGTCGAGGAGCTAGCGCCGAGTTGGCGTCGATTCAGCTTCGCTTCAGCGTCGCTCCGCAGGGGCCAACAGGATGGCACGGGAGGCTCCCACGAGCAGCCGCAGCAGAGCGCGAGGGAGAGCCGCCCTTGTGCGCACCGCCTCCCCGCCCTTCCCGCGGTGCCCGCCGGCGGGGCGAGGCCATCGCCACCGTGGTGCGGCGGAGGCTTGAGCAGGAGCGCACCGCCGGAGCGTCTCTGGCGGCGGCGGCGACGACGACGACGACAATATTTTATGTGTCCCCAGTCCCCCCGGGCCATGGCATCTCAGCCCCACCAAACCACCCCCGAGTTGGGGATGCGTGGCCGTCAAAGCCAGAAGGAGTCAGCGTACACCAGCAACCTGGAGCCGCCTGGGGGGTCCTGAGGTGGCCCAGCACTGATTCTGGCCAGCAGGAGGGGATTTGCTCGGGCCCCAACCAGGTGAGACCCCCAGGCCGCCTCTAACCTTAAATCGGGCCTGTCCCTCTACAGGGGAACTATTCAAAAACAGTCCAAAAGGACGTTTTGGGGTATTTTTCATTATTTTGCATTATGTTTTGAATATGTCTGGAATTTCGCCCAAAATCCCCCTGTAGGGGGACACGCCCGACCTAACTCTGACCGAACCGGGGTCCAGGACTTGTTCAGAACCAGCACCTCGCCCCATCTCTCGTGGCAACAGTTCCTCTGGACCCGCCGACCCTCAGAGACCCCCGAGTCCCCTCTTCGCACCACGGGGTGCTCGCGACCAGCCTTCTCACTGGGCGGAGGCGGGGCAGGGGCGATGATGGGCGACTCGCGCCCGTGCGCGCCCGCGGCCTGCGTAGGAGGGGCGGGGCGAGGCGCGAGGCTGGAGGGCAGACAGCGAGGCTGGATGGACGGGAGGGGCTGGAAGGGAAGGTGTGGGGGGGGAAGGGGAGGATGGGGGGGGAAGGGGAGGAGGGGGAGGGGAGGCTGGGGGGAGAGAGAGGGGAGGGGGGGGGGGGCGGGAGAGGGAGGGGGAGGACAACAAGACGAGAGTCGGGAAAGAGTGAGAGGCTCTGAGCGGGCGGGGCGAGGGGAGGATGGGCAGGAGGATGAGGAGGGGGAGGAGGATCAGAGTGCAAAGGTTCCCGCCATCGCAGGATTCCAACAGAGCGCAGCGCTTACCCTTGGCGCAAAAGCCAGGGCGGGCCCCTCCCCCGTGGCACCCGAGCACGGCGGCCACCCTCAGAGCAGAAGCCACGGCGGGCTCCTCCCCGCACGCTCGCAGACCCGAGCGGCGCGCACCTTGGCGCGCCGCGCGAGCCGACGACGCCGGGGCGGCGGGCACCTGGGGGCAGCAGGGCGCCGCTCCCGCGGAGACCGGCCTGCCCCCACGGCTCGCCCCGGGCGGGGGGCCCGGGCCGTGGGGGCAGGAGGGGCAGGGGCGAAGCAGGCGGCGAGGCGGAAGAGGCTCGCCCCCGCCCGCCCGCTGCCGAGCACCGCGGTTGCGCACGGCCCTCGGACAGGCACGGGCGGGGTGACGATGGGGCCGCTACCCGCCTCTTTACCTGGGAAGGGGGCCCAGCGGCACAGGTGCCTGGGATGGGGAGGAGGAAGAGGAGGAGGAGGAGGAGGAGGAGGAGGAGGAGGAGGAGGAAGAAAGAGAATGAGGGGAAAACGGTCCAAGACCTCCCGCGCCGTGTTTTTTTCACGACGTGGCCTCCCGAACCTCTCGACGCCATCCTCGGGACCAATTGTTTGTCGCAGGTCTTTTTTCGGCACCCTTGGCACCCTTTCGCAGGTCTTTTTCGGCACCAGTTGCCGAAAACTGGCGGTCGGTGTTTTTTTGTCCTCATGCCGTCGGAGGTGTGCGAGGGGTCGGGGGGGTACCATCGAGCAGTGGCGGCCCGAAGAAGGACGGGCGGGATGGCGGATGAGCGCTCGGCCTGGCCAATTGGGCGGCGTTCGCGGCGGGGCTTGCCCCAGGATTCCCGGCTGAGCTCAGGCAGCGGTTCGCAGTGACCAAAAGAGGACGAACGATTTTGGTTTTTGGCGCTTGTCGTATCCGAGTCCCGGCCAGACCATCCAGGAACGAGGTCAAGACGGGTCGTCCTGAGCAGAGTCCATAGTGGGGGGGCAAATCACGTGAAACACAAGGGCGGGCACCAGTCAAACAGAAACTTCTGTCGTCGCAGCGCGGCAGAGGCAATCCGCACGAGCGTCTGGGCGAGACCGGGGCACGGCGTCGCGAATTAGCCTGCATGCTAGTGGGGGAGGAAGGCGATAGGGCGGCCGCGGAGTGGGGGGGCCGGGTGCAGGGGCACTCGCACGCAGCGGGGTTGCAGCGAACGCGCGGGGGGCGGTTGGGCTGAAGGGCAGCCCGCGGCAGCAGCCGCGGGGCGGCGTCGCGGAGCACCCAGGGGAGGGGCCAGCAGACGCAGTGCGGGCGGGGCCCGGCAAGTGGGGGAGCGGAAGCAGCAGGCGGCCGGAGAACCGGAGTTCCAGGCGGGTGGAGGCAGCGGCGTGGGAATCGGCGGCACGCCGCGGGGCGCGGTTGAGTCCAGCCCAGTGGCTGAGACGGCGCATGCCTGGAGAAGCGCCTCCAACGGTCGTCAACTCGGCCCGGACACTTCAGCCGTCAATTCGGCCCCAAGACCACGTTCGTTAACGCGAAAGCAATCGTCAATTCAGCTCCAGCACTTCGTTCGTCAAAACGAGAGGAGCAGTCAACTCGGCCCTGGCATTTTGTTCGTCAACACCGAGTTCGTTTTCAAACATCAGTTCTGCCCCGACGCTTTGTTCGTCAAGACGGACGGTGCGGCGATGGGGGGCCGTCAAAGGGGGTCGTCAATTCGGAAAGAGGCCGTCACGGGGGTTCGTCACCCCACAGGCCGTCAAGGGGGCTCGCCATTCTGGAAGGAGGCCGTCAGGGGTCTCTTCATTTCGGAAGGGGGCCGTCCAGGGGGTTCGTCAACCCGGAAGGAGACCGCAAAGGGGTTCGTCAATTCGGAGACTCGACGACCAAATCCTCTCAGTAAGATAAAGTTGGCGGTCACATTATTCCATCAAGATGGAATTGGCGGCTCAAGCGCCCGATAGAGTACACATGGCCATCCGTCGTGACGTCCACGCCTATTTGTGGACCTGCCACCCGCGACAGACTCAAGGGCGCGGTGCAAGGATAGAGGCAGCCTGAGAAGAAACTTCGCCATCCCGAAACCACTGCACGGCATCTCAGCTAGGGAGCACGCGGCCCCTTTTGCAAGTGGCGCACGGGCGGGGCTGCCACGAAGGGAACAGGGGGGGCGGGCACGTCAGGGGCAGTCCGAAGACGCCGATGGGCAAAAACGAAAGCCGAGCCGCAACGGCGGCGGCCCAAAGTGGGGCAGCGAGAGTTGCGGACAGGGGCAAGACCACCTGTAAAACTCGGGTTGCGGGTGCAGGCGCCGGCAGGGGACGGCCCGGCGCGTAACCCAGGCGAGGGAGGAGGGCAGAATCGACACCATCCAGAGGTTGGTGCACGGCATCACAACCAGGGACTTGGCGCAGCCGTGTGCAAGGGCGCACGGGCGGGGATCCCACGCGGAGTGGGAGCAGCAAAAAATGCGGAGCCGTCCGGGACGAGCGCCGCGCAGTAGCCACCAGGGAAGCAAAGCGGGATGTGAACCACAACGACGGAGACCCCCAAGTGGGGCAGTACACGTTACAAACAAGGACGCGACCCCTTGTAAGCCAGCGGGGCTGCAAACGGCAACAACGGCAGGAACGGCTCGGCGCGCGGCCCGTTCGGCGCGCAGCTCGCTCGGCGAGGGGCGGTGAGCAAATGTGTGGCGCCGCCGAGGGGGGTGCGGAGCCAGGGGACGGGCGGGCGGCAGCGCAAGGCCAGAGGGCGCGGGCGTGCCGGAGGTGGCACGCCACCCGAAAAGATGGCGCGCACGGGGCGGGGGGGAGCTGCAAGGCCAGGTGCCCAGCGGCGAGGTCGGGGGCCGGCCAGGCACCTGTGCGTACCGCCCGGGTTGGGCGGTGCGCAGGAGCCAGGGCGGCGGGCGCGCCGAGGGGCGCGGCGGGGGAGGCACCTAACTGGTGCGCAGACTGGTGGAAGAGCAGTGGGCGACGCCCTCCTGGGTTGGCAAGAAGCCGCAGCGGCCAACAGCGGAGCCGCCAGGTATCACGGAAGCACCCAACTGAAGCGCAGAGCCTCTTGGGTTGGAAGGCACACCGCGGTCATCAAAGTAGCCAGGTACACCGAAACACCGAATTGGTGCGCGCACAGGTGGAAAAAAGGTGGGGGAGCTTCTTGGGTTGGAAGGCACACCGCAGTCATGAAGGTAGCCAGTCGGACGGAAGCACCGAACTGGTCCTGACTGGTGCGCAGACTGGTGGAGACAACGAGCGGGTCACTTGGGCTGTGCGAACACATGCCGTCGTAGGTTCCGGGGCGACGGGAGTGCCCGCAGGGCATCCCGCTATCCACGGGGCTTCCAGCACTATAGCACCCTCGCGGTCGGGACTGGCCTCCTGCAGGCCATACCGTTTGCCTCCCTGCCCTGGGCCTGCCGTCTGCCCCTGGCGGCTTGCTACAACCGCCAGACGTGTGCCCCAGTCAACGTCCAGTGGCCGACTGCTGCAGAGGCGGCGGACGTCGCAGCCGACGCTGGCAGGCCCAGCCACGAAGGTCCCACAGGACTCTGCCTGGCCTCTGGGGTTATAGGTGCCTTTTGCCACGGCCGTTCCCATCACGCCAGCCACAGGCCTTGTCCCCATCCTTCCACAGAGAGTGCGCCGCACGATCCCTGGAGGCGGTTGACCACCTCTGCCCATGTCTCAGTCTTCTTCTCTGAGAGAGAATACCGCGGTGACCACTGGATGCTGGACCTGGGGGTCCGGTGCAGCCGACGATCCTGGCGCTCGTCCCAGTCTCCAGTCGGAGGCGCTCCTGGCTGAGTCCCCCTCGTCCCAGGTCGTGCGATCCCGCTGACAGTCGCGGCCCCCGTCCCACTGAGACCAGGTCTTGCCCACCCCGTCTCGTCCGAACAGCCCAAGAACATGCATCAGCCCGAACAGCCCTAAAACAATATCACTTCAGGGGCATATCGGAGCACATGGGAGGTCTCTTGAAGCCTTTGGGGGCCATCCTAGATGCCATTATTCAGAATATCTTGGGATGCTCTAGGGGGCCTTTGGGGCCCATTTTCGACTGACAACGGCCAGACGAGTATTGACAACCGCCACAAGGCTGAATCACAACGACCAGGGGGCCCCAACGCCAAGGGGGGCCTGCTGATATCGGCCAGGGGGGGACACTGACAACGGCCAGGAGGAGACCCCTGACAACGCCATGGGGGGGGCACTGGCAACGCTTCAGGGGGAGCACTGATAACGATGTCAGTGGAGCGCCAGCAGTGTGGAGTGTCAGCCGTATGCAAGTAGAGTGTCAGTTGGGTGTAAGTTGAGTGTCAGTCGGGTGCCAGTGGAGTGTCAGTTAGGCGCCCTTCCTGGGCACCCACCCCTGCGTCCGCGTCAACCCTCAGCACCCGGTCGCAACTTTAGCGGTCCCACGAGGTGGTTCCCCATGACGTCGTCAGGAAGTTCCTGTGCCAATGTCCGTGAGACCCGCGGGGCAGTGTCAGGGCCCCCTGGCCGTTGTCAGAGAGCTCCCTGGCAGTGGTCCGTGGGGCCCCCCCTGGCGTACCCGGCTAGCCCTTGCAGACGTGAACAGCGCAGGCATGTTTTTTCTTCAGTCTTGAGTGCGCCTGTGTGTGAGAGAGAGGGTAACGGCCGCTCTGCCCCCACCCCCTGAACACACGTCGTGTGTCTCGCCTGGTGCAGCTGATGTCGTTACGCGATGGTTGCGATCCTTGTGCATTCTTGGCTCCGGAGGGCTGCCAGTGTCTCAACCAGCACTCCTCCGAGATGGGGAGCGTGGGCCCCGGCCCAGAGCATACAGCACCTCCTCGAGTGGCAGGAGGAGCAGAGGCAGGAAGAGCAGGAGCAGCACGGGCAGGAGGAGCCAGAGCAGCATGGATTGCGTCACGCATTCCTCTTCGGCGTGCTTCGGCGAAGCTGGTGAGGATTCTACCGTTTGGGCACCGTTCGAATTGGGAGCGCCCTTGTTCCAGCACATGCTGAAGGCGTACGACGAACAGGCCCTGGTCCCCTCTTTCTACGACCGATTGTTGAAAGCAGTGGTTAGGACAGGCATGGCGCAGATATACAATCCTTCTCCTTTTCTATCACCTTCACAACAAGGCACCAGCATACTTGGATCAGTTGGGCAGTGCGGCATGGCTTACGAACAAATCAACAACACCTACCCAGCGTATGGCTTTGGCCCCATACGTGGGATCTGTGCCTCCGAGAAAATGTGAAGAGGTAGGCCAAGTACAGTCCACGAGTTGAAGTAAAGAACGTGTTCGGCTAGGGAGTGGCTTCGAATGTGGCGCGTTGAAGTAAGGGATTGGTTTGTGATCAAGATTTGTCGTGGACAGAGAATCGAGCGCCCCCCTACGACTCAAATATGTCATTTAACTACAGTAAGACTTTGATTGCGCGGTGATCGGGCTTCCCTGTTGGACAAATTATTTGCCGGCGAAGTGGCGTCCACCCCTCTTCGCCTCCCTCCGCTTATTCGTCCTCGTGCTCATCCTCACCCCTGTCTAGTCGGTCTCTGTAGCCGGTGTGGCTCACGCGGCGGCTTGAGAGGTTGAACGCGCGGCCGCCCTGCCCGCCAGAACGCGCGATCAACCTGCCCGACAGCCCGACAGGTGCCTTTGAGAAGAAGCCGGCGGCAGCGTCGGTTGTCGGAGGCCCAGAGGTTGACACCAACACCAATGTCGGTGGTGTGCCTCCACCGAGAGAAATGATCCCGAGCTCGGTGGTGGTGGTAATATTCGGGCTTCCCAGGTGGCCGAAAGATTACCACAGATACCAAAGTCTAGGATCAGATTCCCCTGCTGGAGGCACTCCCCTGTTCTGTTGTTGGCAACTAGTTGCAAGCTTCCGAAGTTGTGGTGTTCTTCGTACGCGTGTTGGTGGTACCCTCGGTGGCCTAGCACAGATTAGCAGATTGCAGTGCGAACTCAAAGTGCATACATCTTGGCGACAATTGCTTGCCTGGTCGCAAAGACGTGGGTGTGTTGAAAGAGTCTTGTTTGTCGGATCGAGCGCACGAGAGTTCTGAGAAGTCTGCGAACGCCTCGCACAAGGCAAAAGCAAACGCCGAGGAGATGGCCAATGCGGCCGAGGCAGTCAAGAGGAAAGCCAAGCACACGGCGGACAATTTGAAGGAGACTGCCCAGGGAGGGGGAGAAGGCAGATCAAATCACTCGAAGCAGTGGTTCGCACCAAGCACTGCGTGAAGCCATGGAGGTCATAGTGCCTCGGGCTCCAGCGACGCCCTCGCCGAGCCTGCCCTGCAGCCCGCCTACCGCACACGCGTGCCTCGCGGCCGCGGCCAGGGCCTCGCGGCCTGACGCGCCAACCGCCAGCGTCGGTTGACGCGGCGGATTGGCGTTTCGGCTAGGTGGCGTCCTGCCGCGGCTTCACCCTAGTGATCGTTTTTTTATTCATTGGTTTGCCGATCGGCGCGGGCCCTCGCACCCCCCCCCTTCCCCCCCACCCCATGGAGTAATTAGATCTTGGCTGTTTTTGGCGCCTGTTTCGAGCAGGTGGAGCTTTCCCTATCGGACGCACTGCTGCAAACAGTCGCACTAAGCAGAGTTCCAGAGCCAGACACCCCCTACACAACTTCCTTCGCCCAATGTCGAAACGCTCACCCACGTCCATTGTGTGCCGTTCTCCCCACGTCGGGCGGCATCGTTGTCGAGCGTCGCCGCGCTGGAGGCTTCTGCGGCGGCAGCTCCGCTGGCGGAAGCCGGCGCGGAAGTAAAAGATGTGCCCCCCAGAGAGATGGCAACAGTTTTTTCGGTTCAGAGTTTCCAGAATTGCCCCTTCGCTAGGTTCGTTCGTTCATTGCTTCCTCTCGGAATAGACCTTTTTGGACTTTTCCACTTGCGCGTTTTGGCCGAGATTTTGAGGCGGATCCGGGCGCGGCGTCGAATGGGCCCCCAGAGACCCAGGAGGACGGCGAGGAGGCGGAGGAGGTGCAGGAGGAGGACGAGGAGAGGTGGAGAAGCAGAAGCAGGAGCAGGAGGTTTCTCATCTTCTGCTCTCTTTCAGTCCAATTTTGGGCCGCAAGCACTGCGCGTCTGGCCGTCTTACCTCGTTCTGCTGCGGGATGTCCCGCGGGCGCTCGAGACAACCTCCTTCTCCTTTGTCTGCTCATTCCCATGTTCGCCCTCGCGATCACGCATGTTTTCTCCGCTCATCCCTCTCGCCCGTGGAACAGAAGGGGTTGTTACGAAAGGCGTTGTTGTACTTCCGCGTCGAAGGACCATCATCCTGCAGAGAGTTGTCCGTGTTGAGTACTCACACACTCAGCCCTCTCGTTGTTTCTTACCCAGGATGCGTGTGTGCCCAGTGCCGCAGACGGGCTGAAGACCTGACCAGGGAGTCAGGGAGACGCATTTCCTCCTCCTCCTCCTCCTCGATGCTCATCCTCCGTGGAGGTGCACTTCCTGTATTTTTGGCGCGCGCTCGCCGCGGCCGACTGCACCTCCCGCACCTACCTCCGAGACGACGGCTATCTGGACGAAGGCGCGCAGTGGTCTCCCCAAGTACAGTCGGGGCGCTGCAAGCATGCCCACGTTCGGCTCGGTCCGGTCCAGCGTGCGTTCGGCTCGGTGCGGCTGGTTTTGGTCAGTCCGCAGTCGGTTCGGTCCAGCCAGTCCGGTTCGAGTCAAACAGCGGGTCGGTTCGGCCGGCCACATTCCGCTGTTCGGTTCCGCATCCCATTCGGATTGGTCGGCTCCGCTGAGGGCAGGTGGGCGTTGGCCGGCACTACGCCTTTCTTGAGGAGGGAAGATTCAGCACATCCAGCCTTGAAAGAGTTCAGGCATCTTGAGGATGTTCCCGCGCTTATTCTTGTGGTGGTTCCTCGCTCGCCTCGAGCGGCGAGCGAAAATTACATCCATCCATGTCAACACTCCTGATTGCGAGGCTCTGCCCAGCTGGGGCGAGGGTGTCGATGTTGGCGAGGTGAATCGCCTTAGGGCCCGAATCTAGGCCTCCCAGATGGGGTCGGAGTAGACGGGGTCGGAGGATCGCGCCGCATCGGCGATGTGGCTC